TCATCATCAAATGTGATCAGAGTTTTACAAGTGTTGTAAAACAGAGCATAGTAGTGAAGTACAGCAATTTTACCAGCTTTATCACCACAGCGCCATGTCAGTACAATTATGAAAGAAGACGCTTCAATCCCGGTTTGTGTACATTTAATCAGGTTTATTTTGTAACATAACCAATATCCATACAGCAGTGGAGATTAACCTGTACTGTATACTGTCACATTTGCCATGCAAAATCAGCGCAAAGTAAAACACGCACAGTGTCTAGACTAGAATTTAAATTAATTAAATACCACAAAATTTACCCAATTTGTTTTACAAAGGAGCAGAAAGAACAATTTACATCAAAGTTTTCAGAAATAAACTATAAAGAAAAACACCTCCTGATGTTTTATAAGGCGGCACGGCCTCTCGGTGGTTAGCACTGTAGTCTAACAAGAAGAAGGTCGCTGGTTTGAGTCCCGGCTGAGTCAGTTGGCGTTTCTGTGTGGAGTTTGCATGTTCTCCCCATGTTGGCGTGGGTTTCCCCCACAGTCCGAACACATGCGCCACTGTAGTTTATGAGTGTTTGTGTAAAGAAGTGTTTTGCGGTGTTTCTCACCACTGGGTTGCAGCTGGAAGGGCATCTGCTGTGTAAAACATATGCTGGAATAGTTGGTGGTTCATTCCGCTGTGGCGACCTTTGAAATAGAGATTAAGCTGAAGGAGAATTGATGGATGATGTTTAATCTCTGGATGTGATTGCTGATGATGTCATGACTGATGATGATGATGATGCGTGTGAGAGTCACATGTTCTCCATCATGTGCTTAGTGATGAATGAAGCTCTTTTTTTCATGCGTGTCTGCAGTGAATGAGTGTGAACTCGTGTTGATGCTCATTTGCTTCGGGTTCTGGTGTGTTTATAGCAGCGTCTGTAACTGGCATGTATAAATGAGCTGTTATGAGAGCTGTAGAAATGGCCCCGGGGCCCGACAGACCCTCAGACGCTCTTCTGTCACACTCGTATATTCCTCAGTCGGTTTGGCATTGATGTGTGTAATGGATGCTCTTATAAATAGCAAGCAGTACTACCATTTTTAACTAGGAATGTCCCGATCAGGTTTTTTTTTCGAGTCTGAGTTGTTTGATTTTGAGTACCGATACAGAAACCCCGATCCGACACTTCTATAATACATTAAAAAAAATAAAGAAGAGCGAAGAAACTATTCAATTCATGTTTATTTACATATGTATATAGCGCTTTTCACAATCTAGATTGTGTCAAAGCAGCTTAACATAACGTCCAGGTTTCAGAAACAGATCCAGAATGTTCCTTATTTTAGCATTCAGCAACTCTGTTAACGAACAGGGCACTTCTGTGAGGTAGCTTCAACAATCAAGTGATAAATAACATCAATATTCTTCTCTTTTGGACTTTAGTAAAACAGTAAATATTAATAATCTAATTTAAAAACAAACAGCACCTCAACTTAAAATACAGCGGCAATCCAAGTTTACAGATCTCACAGTTTGCTATGGCAATGTTGTTGTCATCAACTTTATGATACCTCCAGACCGCAGACACACTCACGCTTTCCGCTTCAAGCTGCTTCCGCGTCCTAATTTGCCAACTAAAGCTAGCTAAAGTGCTGTCGTTTAAGATCTGATGAGTTTAAAATCAATGATCTTCACTGTATGATTTAAAAACAATATAAAGGGAGTTTCACACTGGTCTAAAAGCAAAGCTTTGCATTATAATAGGGCTGGACGATATAACAAAAATTTATATCACGATATACTTCTGAATTTCGATATGATATAACTCTGATATCGATATGGACAATATTAAAAAGACATGAAAAAACTGCTGAGAAGGCACACAATAGATGTCTGTACCTACAAATGTCTGCAAACTGAATTTGCAAAGTCTACAATACCTTCAGGCTCTTATAACTTTACTTTAAATAAAAAAGTACAAAAAAAATTAACGTTCTCTCTTATTTTTTGGCCTTTACAAACACACACACACACACACACACACACACACACACACACACACACACACACACACACACATATATATATATATATATATATATATATATATATATACACACACACACACACACACAGTTGAAGTCAGAATTATTAGCCCCCCTGAATTATTAGCGCTCCTGTTTGTATTTTAATTTCTGTTTAACAGAGGTAAGATTGTTTCAGCACATTTCTAATCATAATAGTTTTAACAACTCATCTCTAATAACTGATTTATTTTATCTTTGTCATGATGACAGTAAATTATATTAGACTAGATATTCTTCAAGACTCTACTATACAGCTTAAAGTGACATTTAAATGCTTCACTAGGGTTACTAGGGTAATTAGGGTAACTAGGCAGGTTAGGGTAATTAGGCAAGTTATTGTATAACGATGGCTTGTTCTGTAGACTATCAGGAAAAATATATTGCATAAAAGAGCTAATAATATAATAATATTGACCTTAAAATAAAGTTTAAAAAATTAAAAACTGCTATTATTTTAGCTGAAATAAAAACAAATAAGACTTTCTCTAGAAGAACAAATATTATCAGACATACTGTGAACATTTCCTGAATCTGTTAAACATTATTTGGGAAATATTTAAAAAAGAAAAAAAATCTGAGGGGGCAAATAATTCTGACTTGAGTCCAGGGGTGTGTTTCCCATACAACAACGTAACTCGCGGCTGAACTATCACAGTACGATGCATCATTTGGGAAAAGAATGATGTAGTGACCGATGTTTGCCAAAATCCCGAGTTTCTCTGTCGCAGATCCATCACTTGAACCACGTTAGTTATAACATAAAACGCCCATAAAGAAATTCTAAACGAGGTGGAGTAACAACTTCTTTAGAGAAGAACCCCATCATTTATTTCTGCAAATTATATTGATACATTATAAAATCACTTACAAAAGCTAACACGTATTCTAATCTCATATATAAATCATATAAGTAAATAAATAATGAGGCTATTTATTATAAAGTGAAATGTAATATTTATTTTGTATCAGAAATGAAAAAATCATACTTTAATAATAGTAATGATGATCATGATAATGATGATGATTATTTTTATTATTATTGTTATTAAGTAGGATATTGTTTATTTTTTATTGTTTAGAAAAGTCTACATTTACAATTCGACACATGTAAACCACAGCAGAAGGTTCTAACCAGCAGGCCCATGTCAGATACAGTACAGATACTTAATAAATAACCTACTGTAAAATAAAAGAATTAACATATGCTTTTTGTTTTCACAAACTTTGAAGACGTAACATAAATTCCACTTTTAAATAACATGTCACCAATAGCTTTCACCATGAGCCACGGCTGTGTTCAAAATGACATTATTGTTTTCAAAGTGCACTGCAAAGGGAGCACACTTGTAAACATGAAAATCGCTAAAACTGAACTGTAAAAACAGTTTGAAGGCAAATTACAACTGAGAGAGATTAGCTTAATGCTAATTTACTTTTAATAATTCCAACTTTGAATGTTAGAGTGTTCAAAATCAATAGGGCATGGGGGGGGAGTGGGAATAAAACACAGCCGGGAACTATGTTTCTAACTACAGCTCCAGAGGTGCAGTTTCAAGTGCTCAAGTTTGCGACGCAGTTTGCGATTGTTCATTGCAGCGACGGATTTGGGAAACGGCAAATCAACAAGCTATGTTTGTAACGATGGAACTTGCAACCTTAGTTGGCTAACGATGGTTTTGGAAAACGCACCCCTGATCGGGAGGTAACATCCGATTTCGATCGAGTCTGTAACTGCGTAATGTGGCCTGATTTGCGATCACGTGATCGGATCTGGACATCCCTAATTTAAACTATTTTTTTACAAAGTGATTTCTTTTTTTTTTTTTAAAGTTCTATAAAGTAAAATGTAAATAAATAAATAAATAAATGCATATGTGTATATGTTCAAGTGTAGTTTACCATAACCAATCATAGTAATTGAAATAAAAAGCATATATATAGCATATAAAATATAATTAACTTATTACTATTTTATTTTGTTTTCTGTTACGTTATTTCCTAGTGCCAAGTTGTAATGGAAGGCGTAAAAACATAATAGCTGCGTCCCAAATCGCATACTTATGCACTATTCTACGCCATTTTTTAGTATAAATAGTTTAAGTAGTGCGTTCACACTGAAAACTCTAAAAATAATAAGAGCACTTTAATTACCCGGATGATGCACTCATTCAGCCGCTAAAATGAAGTGTGTAATGATGGACACTACATGCACTCAACGACCGCAGGTTTGCTTACGTAGCGGAAGGGGCGGAGCTATCGGGCGCACATGTTAAATAACTTTATTTTTTTTGGATGGTGAAAGCAAAATTCTCCTACGAGAGTGATTTTAGCGCCTTCCGATGGTGAATGCGGCAACACTCACGGCAGGTATTATTTGATAATTCGGTCGTGTATTTCACTGATTTGGCGACCGTCAAACGTCATCAGGGAAACGGTTTGAATTTCCGCTTAGTAAAAAACATTAGTGTGCCATTTGGGACGACACTACATACATATACTATCCTGTTGAGTGTGTAAGTGCATAAGTACATAGTGCATGAGTGCATAGTGTATAGTGTGCCATTTGGGACGCAGCTAATGTAAAACATAAGCTAGAATAGCAGGTGGTTCATTCCTCTGTTGTGGAACCCAGACAGGCAGTCAGGCAGCGTAACACAGAGAGTGGACCAAAGCGTCAAATGATTGGTAATTATAAGCAAAAAATTGAATAAAAATATATATTTATGTTAGACACACATCTGATGCTTGTATTTGCAACAGCTCCACGTCCACAACGTCATACATTGGGTGGATTTCGTTTGTTTAGTTTCCGTTATTTACATTAATTTATTATTTCCTCTGTGTTTGCAGCAGGTTCAACATGCTCCGAGTGTTTTTGTAGTGGTGTGTTGGGTTATTATTGCTCTCCTCATGCAGTGTGTGTTTGTGTGTGTGCAGGTTCAGCTCCAGCAGCACTATGACCGATGGAGATTACGATTATCTGATCAAACTCCTGGCTTTGGGGGACTCCGGGGTCGGCAAGACCACTTTCCTCTACCGATACACAGATAACAAGTTCAACCCCAAATTCATCACCACCGTGGGCATCGACTTCAGGGAAAAGAGAGTGGTGAGTGTGTGTGTGTGTGTGTGTGTGTGTGTGTGTGTGTGTGTGTGTGTGTGTGTGTGTGTGTGTGTGTGTGTGTGTGTGTGTGCCCAGGTGATATTGTGTTGTCTATCCTTCATCGGCTGGTCATGTGAGTGTGTGTGCGCATGTGAGTGAGAGTGTGTGTGTAGCATTAGAGGCTGGATTTATTCACACACTGCTGCCACACAACTGTGTTTAAGCCAGTTATAAAAGTGATTTCTGCATAATAGCTCCCCTAGAAAGACAGAAAGTGTTGTGTTTTCGCCCACTGAAGTAGCCGGTGCTCATCTGGAGAGATCGATAATGAGAAAGAGCAGATTAATCATCTTCATCATCATATAAATGCTTCACTTCAGGAGTTTGGGTGACCGTCTTCAGTCTTTCAGAGACTCTTGAAATGTCACAGATGAACGGAGAGATGAAAGCATCAATCCCAGCATGCATTGTGGCTCACAGATCAATAACGGTCCAGCCGTCTAGTGTTTTCTCTCAGATCCGCTGATTCTGACCATAAAAGTGTTCGTATTTCTGGCTGAGGATGAATTATTCATGGTGTGGCATTAGGCTTGTGATGATGCACAGTCGTGGTTGTATTAGTTGATGCATTTACTAACATGAGCAAACAATGAACAATACATTTATTACAGAATTTGTTCATCTTAGTTAATGTTGGTTAATGGAAATTCAGTCGTTCATTGTTTCTTCATGCTGTAGCAAGCCAAAATTTGGATTTTAATAATACATTAGTAAATAATAACCCATTCGTAATAAACAATAATAATCATTAATAAATGCTGTAAAATAAAATTATTTACCATTATAATTTTAATTTAAATTTTAACATTAACTAACGAAACTTTATTGTAAAGTGTGACCTATTATTTTTTTATTATTAATATATTATCTTTTTATTTATTAAATATAATAATAGTGATAATAATTAAAATTATAATAATTATTAATATTAGTATTATTGTTTATGTAATAATATATATATTTATTTTAAATACTATAACAAAAATAATAATTATAATAATAATTATTATTATTGTTATTCATTTAATAATATAATATTTTTTCTAAAAAATATAATAATAATTATATATAATTAAAACATATATATATATATATATATATTCATTTAATAATGTAGTATTTATTTATTATTAATATTAATTAAATTATAATTTTAAATAGTTTTTATTTCATTAATAAAAATAATAATAATAATTATTATTATTTATTAGTAGATTATTAAATTATAATACTTTAATATATATTTATTATTATTATTATTCATTTAATAATATAATATTTTTCTAATTAGTATAATAACAAATATTATTGATAGTAAAATTCATTTAAGAGTGTAATATTTAATAATAATAATAATTAATTATTATTATTATTGTTATTATTTAATAAAGAAAAGATTATTAAATAATAATACTTTAATAAATAATCATAATAATTAGTATTATTATTAATATTTATTTAATATAGTAATATTTATTTTGACTTAATATACTAATAATCATCATAATAATGTTAATTATTATTACTATTATTATTAAATGAATTATTTAATAATATATTAATTATTTATTAAATAACAATATAAATAATTATTATTATTATAATTATTATTGTTGTTGTTGTTCATTTAATAATATACTAATAGAACAAGTAATGTGAAAAGCGCTATGTAAATTTTTTTTTATGGAATATTAATCAATGCACTGTAAGTGATATTTATTTTTTTTTCCGACTTTATTTCCATTAAATAACATCAATAAAGATGAATAAATACTGTAAAAAAGTGATACCTTACTGTTATTATTAAAGGGCACCTATTATGCAAATATCACTTTTATAGGGGGTTTAAGTGAAGTTTAATTATAAACTAATTTGGAGAGGATCACGTGCGTGCTCTTGTGGGGGCGTGATTGTGACGTAGCTCCTGTGTTGGTGTCCTGGGGAAAATTCTCCTGCACACACCGACAACAGTTCATCAATCTGGGCTCGGTCTGAAGCACCACTGAAAGCCTCCACCATTCAACTACAGTTTCTGGAGGAGTTTATGAGCTCACAGGGCTGGATGCACCTCTGAAAGGATCTAATGGATTCAGACAAAGCCGGTGGTGAGCTTTGTTGTGGTGTACTCCTTTAAATGATGTGTGTATGATATTAGTCTCTTCTTTTCCTCTAGGTTTATACGACTAACAGCCCCAATGGGACGACGGGGAAAACCTTTAAGGTTCACCTGCAGCTGTGGGACACTGCGGGACAGGAGAGGTGTGTGTGATATATTCATATTCAGATTTATTATGGTAATCTGGGATTGGCCAGTCCAGTCACCAGATATAAACATTGTTTAACATTATTAAGATGAAGGAGGAGGCATTAAAGACGAATACACAAACTCTTGATGAACTCTGGGATCCTGCAAGAAGGCTTTCTTCTTCATTCCAGATGACTTTATTAATCAGTGATGTGAGTCATGTCAGAGATGTATGGATGCAGTCCTCCAAGCTCATGATGGAGTCAGACACAATATTCATTCTGTCTCCACTGCAGCAGGACTTTATATTCTATACTGGACATTATTTCTGTTCAGTGATGAGTCAGACCGCACTGTCCTCATCAAATCAGTCAACATCAAGACATGATCAGATTTCATTGAGCTCAAATAAGTGTCATCTAGAGGCCTTTAACTTTCATATAAGAGACTTCTGACACCAAATGATCAACTAGAGGTCAACTTATTATTTGCTGTTCCTAAACCTTGGATAGGAGACAAGATTTTTGTCAGGTAGTGTACTGCTAATAGTGTGTTCATATAAGTAAATACAACTAATATTAACTAATGGACCATTATTTTTAAGTGTTGCCTCTACTTTTCCAATTCTTTATTTCTAAGCAAAGAGTTTTGTTTGTTTTTCAGCCTCACCTGAGCTGATTCTGGTTATTTGCATCAACAAGTGTGCAGATCATCATTTATAATGTCAATAAAAGTCTCACTTAAATAATGTAAAGTGAAGACATGTGCTTATATAATCAGATTAAACCCAACACAAGCTCATATGTACCCCTGTCTACATTTCTGGAGAGCACTTACAGTGTTTCCTCTAGGATTTTTTCCAGCTGTGGCGGCAGGCCTTTTTTTTTTTTCAAAAATCTACCTGTGACGTTATTTCAGTGACAAAGATCGAAAGGTCGAGATCGCATTTTTGTAACAGCCTGCAGCATGTGGATCTCTTTGCTTTTCGCGCCGATTTCCTCTGCTCATGAACAAAAATTGTTTGCACGCCCCCTCAAATATAAGCCACTTCAAGAGTGCGCAGATCTTGTGCGCTCTCAAATAATTGCTGCTGACATGTGATTTAGTGCGTTTATTAGGGATGTAACGGTATCAGAATTTCACGGTACGATAACACCTCGGTATGAATGGCACGGTACAGTATTTATTGAATAATTTACAGGAAAAACAAAACTAATAAAAAGGCTCGAAAAAAGTGCCAAAAGTGTTTATTTACCTCAGCACTGAACATATCAATGACATACAAATTAGCCATCTATCTGTAAGCTTCCAAACAGAAATTTATCATTTTTAATAACAAAAAACTTTTAAACCATATGAAAAAAAATTAAATTTCAATTGAGTATTGTTGAAAACTCATCACATTCAACATTTAATCACTCACTCACTTAGATAGAGATGGGTTTTTAAGGAAAATGATCATATAACTATAATCTGGTAAAAGCTGGGGTCTCTGGGCATGTCCCCTGCAACAGAAATAAATACCCCTCTCATTTGGGACTGAGGTTTCTGGGACAGAGAGATATGATTTAGCCAAGGTTGACAGCAGTGGGTAACGTTGTGCATTGTCTTTTCACCACTTGAGAGGACAAGCCATGAGTGAGATAGAGGTCTCTTTACGGTACAAGTCAATGTCTGCATCAATCTAACAAGTGTGCTGAGTTCTGCAGTCCCCATGACTGTTTTAGTCGTATTCCCCGACTTATATTTCACCACAGTCTGGCAGTGCCTGCATACTGTTTTTGTCTGTGTCTGTCACCTTTTCTCCTTTTTCGTATCTTTTTAGAAAGAAACTGAAATGCTTCCACACATCTGATTTAAAACCCGCTTTAGGTTCAAACATTTCCAGCTCTTTTTCATCCCCGCTACTAGCAGCACACTCCATTTCCACATTACTGGATCTGCAGTGACAACAGACCGCAAAGGATGATGGCCACGCCTAGGCTGATGGGAATTGTAGTTCCCGCTACCTCCCGTTCGCTTCATTCGCCTGAGCAAACTTTTCTCAGGAATATAGTTTTATTGAGTCATGTGCCTACGGTAATATTGAAAAAAATACTATTGCGGTATGACGGTATTTACAATATTGTTACATCCCTAGCGTTTCTGTAACGAGTATGTCTCCAATATTTATTGGATTTGCTAGGAATATTTACGAATGTCTCCCTAATAAACCTGCAGAGCAGTATTAATGCGTCCTGAAGTAAAGTAAAACAGCTATACGTCGTGTTTGCTGGCCTCATGCATCACACGCCTGTCAGTAAATCAGCATGTAACCTTAAAGGGTTAAACAAATGACGCACAGCACTACTACGGTTACAGAAAAGTTTGCGCTGTTATATTTCACTTACCTTTTAATATGTTCTGGTGCGATTATTACCCACTATTAAAAAATAAAATGTTTAGAATGAGAAGCTGTAATGTAGCCGTGGCGGGATGAATCTTGGCGTGGCGTCCCGCCATGGATGATTGAATGTAGCGGAAACCATGACTTATTAGTTAGCCAGAGGCATATTTGGCTGCATTTTGTGTTTAAAATGAACGCTACGGGGCGGTATGACGCCGCCTGCGGCTTCTGTTTGTTTTAGTGCTACCTGCTGACCGCTTACCTCAGTGTGGATTGCTTTTCCACTGTTACCAGTATGCCCAGTGGCTTGCCATGTATGGTGGACTTGGGACATGAGGTTGACAGGGTCCAGTCCGACGGAGAACGGTTCCAGAAACCAGCTAAAATGTAATAATTGAATAAACAACAGGCTGAAAATGTAGTGAAATCACACAATGGCTATTCTTTTTCTAGATTGCCTTTGAAAACACTATGGGTTGGGTTTAGAGAAGGGGATGGGTGGGTCTGTCGGTCAGTCATTCAGTTGACAGCAAGTTGGCCTAATTGGCTGAAGTGTACTGTATATTGCGCCCTCTGATGGATTTACACGAGAAGATGATGCGCAAAAGTAATTTAACATCATTCAAAAGCATACACAGCGCCCTCTGGTGGATTTGAGCGAGCAGACTTACCTTACGTTCACATATTTCGCTGTTTTCAAAAATGTAGACAGGGATACATATCCTCAATGAGCCTGGGCTGATTAAACCAGTCTGACTCCTATGGGCTTATTTTAGATTCTCTTTCCTCATGTTTCCCTGCAGGTTCAGGAGTTTGACCACTGCATTCTTCAGGGATGCCATGGGTTTTCTGCTGATGTTTGATCTGACCAGCCAGCAGAGCTTTCTCAACGTCAGGAACTGGATGAGTGAGTCAATAAATAACTTTAACCAGCTTTAAGCCATGTCCAAATGTTCACAGGTATTTTTATAAATAGAGTTTTCAGTGTTTTTGTTTTTAAAAAAGATCTCTGTCCACTAGGGCTGCACCATATTGGGAAAATCTGACATTGCAATATCTAGTTTTTTCTGCAATGTACAGTTGACATCAGAATTATTCAGAATTACCCTAGTTAAGCCTTTAAATGTCACTTTAAGCTGTATAGAAGTGTCTTGAAGAATATCTAGTCTAATATTATTTACTGTCATCATGGCACAGAGAAAATAAATCTGTTATTAGAGATGAGTTATTAACACTATTATGATTAGAAATGTGCTGAACAAATCTGCTCTCTGTTTAACAGAAATTGGGGAGATAAATATTCAGGAGGGCTTCAACTGTATGTGTATGCATATGTGCATATGTGTATATGTATGAGAGTGTGTGTGTGCCTGTGTGCAAATGCATGTGTGTACAGAATGCGTGTGTATGCACGACTGTGTGTATGTATATTGTATTGTGTGTTTATACCTTCGTGTGTGTGTGTGTGTGTGTTTGTGTGTTTGTGTGTGTGTGTGTGTGTGTGTGTGTGTGTGTGTGTGTGTGTGTGTGTGTGTGTGTGTGTGTGTGCAGGTCAGCTCCAGGCTAATGCATATTGTGAGAATCCAGATATCGTGCTGGTGGGAAATAAAGCAGATCTAGCCGACCAGAGAGAAGTTCAGGAGAAACAAGCGAAAGAACTCGCAGACAAATACGGGTGAGTGATTATTTATTACCTTCAGATTAAATATTGTAGGAAATACTGCGAACATTTCATGGCAACAATCACATGGCAGCAACTCAGTGCATTTAGGCATGTAGACATGGTCAAGACGATCTGCTGCAGTTCAAACTGAGCATCAGAATGGAGAAGAAAGGGGATTTAAGTGACTTTGAACGTGGCATGATTGTTGCTGCCAGACGGGCTGCTCTGAGTATTTCAGAAACTGCTGATCTACTGGGATTTTCACGCACAACCATCTCTGGGGTTTACAGAGAATGCTCCGACAAAGAGGAAATATCCAGTGAGCGGCAGTTCTGTGGGCGCAAATGCCTTGTTGATGAGGCCAGAGGTCAGAGGAGAATGGCCAGACTGGTTCCAGCTGATAGGAAGGCAACAGTAACTCAAATAAGCACTCGTTACAACCGAGCTCTGCAGAAGAGCATCTCTGAACACACAACACGTCCAACCTTGAGGCGGATGGGCTACAGCAGCAGAAGACCACACCGGGTGCCGCTCCTGTCAGCTAAGAACAGGAAACTGAGGCTACAATTCACACAGACTCACCAAAACTGGACAATAGAAGATTGGAGAAACGTTGCTGCTCTGATGAGTCTCCATTTCTGCTGACACATTCAGATGCTCGGCTCAGAATTTGGCATCAACAACATGAAAGCATGGATCCATCCTGCCTTGTATCAGCGGTTCAGGCTGGTGGTGGTGGTGTAATGGTGTGGGGGAGATTTTCTTTGGGTCCATTAGTACCAATTGAGCATCAACGCCACAGCCTACCTGAGTATTGCTGCTGACCATGTCCATCCCTTTATGAGCACAGTGTCTCCATCTTCTGATGGCTACTTCCAGCAGGATAACGCACCATATCATAAAGCTCAATCATCTCAGACTGGTTTCTTGAACATGACGATGAGTTCACTGTACTCAAATGGCCTCCACAGTCACCAGAGCTCAATCCAATAGAGCAGCTTTGGGATGTGGTGGAACGGGAGATTGGCATCATGGATGTGCAGCCGATAAATCTGCAGCAACTGTGTGATGCTATCATGTCAATATGGAGCAAAATCTCTGAGGAATATTTCCAGTAGCTTGTTGAATCCACGCCATGAAGGATTAAGGCAGTTTAGAAGGCAAAATGGGTCCAACCCGGTACTAATAAGGTGTACCTAATAAAGTGACCAGTGAGTGTATGTGTGTGTGTATTTTAGACCATACTTCCCACAGTCTTTGTATTCTGAATTTTTTGACTATTCATTTGCCTCCAAATAAAAGTATAAAACATGTGTGTGTGTGTGTGTGTGTGTGTGTGTGTGTGTGTGTGTGTGTGTGTGTGTGTGTGTGTGTGTGTGTGTGTGTGTGTGTGTGTGTGTGTGTGTGTTTTCTGTCAGCATCCCGTACTTCGAGACGAGTGCAGCGACGGGCTCTGAGGTGGACAAGGCTGTGGTGACGCTGCTGGATCTGGTGATGAAGCGGATGGAGCAGTGTGTGGAGAAGCCCAGCGCAGACGCAAACACCAGCGACGGCAGCAGCAAACTGAGCGCCGCACCTGCCCAACAGAAGAAGTGTGCATGCTGAAGAACACACACACATGGCCTTCTCTACACACACACACACACACACACACACATACACACACGGAGACAAAGGATCACATTTTTATTGTTCTTTTCAAATATCCAAAGTGATGTTGGACATTTACACAAACACACACACACACACACATACACACAAACAAACACACACATTACTGACTACTGACTCGCTGCTTTACTAATACACACACATTTTTACTATTCTTTTCAAACACTTTGGAAATATTCTCACACACACACACACACAAATACACACACACACACACACATTACTGACCCTGAAGAAAAAATGATCTCATTATTATTATTATTATTATGATTATTATTACACATATTTCCGAAGTGATGTTTAATGGCGCAAGGAAAATTTCACAGTATTTCCTATAATATTTTTTCTCGTTTTTTTTCTTAGTTTTGCATAAAAAAAGCAGTTTTTAATATTTTTAAAACAATTTGTAATGTCTATTATAGAGATTTCACAGAACAAGCAGTGGCCACACTTCATTTTAGATCCAAACTGATGCTGTTTACTCATCTTCTAGCTTAATACACTACTAATTAACATCTCCTCATTAGTTAGTAAGCTCTGTAGTATTCAGGTTTAGGTATTAGATAGAATTAGGCATGTAGAAATAGATCATACTTTATAGCTAATAATAGGGTATATGCCGAGCTAATGTTGTTCCTATACTGATGAACTTCCGGTGGCCTGTTATTGTGAGTTTTTTCCATTTTATACGGATCCTTTCACAGCATCGATGTTGTAATGTAATAAAAATACATTCAGTTAAATAAACTTTAGCATTCATTTAGTTGCTCAAGCGTAAAACGAGACAAAAAGCCGTGTACTCGCACACACCCGTCAGAATCGGCAGGCTAGAACAGAAGCTCCATTGAATATACTGGGGTAAAATAAATGCTCATATTATAAAGACATGGCGGGGGAAATGTAATGTAATGCAGAGCTTCTTGCACAATCTGAGAGCCACTTTATATCGTATATCACTCAGCCAGTGGAGATCGCTGATTTTTAAAGAAAACAGACCTTAAATGCGTTAATTTTTGCATTGAAATACAATTCGCCGGAAGCGCTTAACTCAGGTTACTGACAAATTAAAAGTCCTATTAGCATGCTTCGGCATATACCCTATTATAGTTAATGGGGTGGCACGGTGGCTCAGTGCTTAGCACTGTCACCTCACAACAAGAAGGTTGCTGATTCGAGTCCTGGCTGGTCTAGTTGGCGTTTCTGTGTGGAGTTTGCATGTTCTCCCTGTGTTGGCGTGGGTTTCCTCCGAGTGCTCCGGTTTCCATCACAAACACATGCGCTATAGGGGAATCGATGAAGTGTGTGTGAAAGAGTGTGTATGGGTGTTTCCCAGTACTGGGTTGCACCTGGAAGGCATCAGCTGCGTAAAACATACTGCAATAGTGGCCGGTGTATTCAGGAAACCCAGGCACCCAGAGGAAACACACGCCAACACGGCGAAAACATGCAAACTCCACACAGAAATGCTGACTGACCCAGCCGGGACTCGATCCAGCCACTTTCTTGCTGTGAGGCCACAGTGCTAACTGATGAGACACTGTGCTGCCTTGGACTGTCATCATGGCGAATTAAATCAGTTATTAGAGATGAGTTATTGAAACTATTATGATTAGAAATGAGTTGAAAAATGGGATGAACACGTTTAATGGATTCTCTCCGTTAAACAACACTTGGGAAATATTTTTGAAATTATTACAAATTTTATGAATTAATTTGACTTCAACTGTACCTGTGTGTGTGTGTGTGTGTGTGTGTGTGTGTGTGTGTGTGTGTGTGTGTGTGTGTGTGTGTGTGTGCGTGTTGTCGTACTGCCTCCAGATATGCGAGTGAAAACACTCAAATGCTACTAAACTGCACAGAAGATGGAAAGCCTCATCTGCTCACTAAAGCTGTGTTTATTCATTCATTCATTCATTGTCCTTTGGCTTAATCCCTTTATTTATCAAGGTTCTCCACAGCGGACTGAATGTTTTACACAGCGGACGCCCTTCCAGCTGCAACCCAGTACTGGAAAACACCCATACACTCTCATTCACACACACTCATACACTACGGACAATTTAGTTCATCAATTCCCCTATAGCGCATGTGTTTGGACTGTGGGGGAAACCGGAGCACCCGGAGGAAACCCACGCCAACACGGAGAGAACATGCAAACTCCACACAGTGTGTGTATGGGTGTTTCCCATTACTGGGTTGCAGCTGGAAGGGCATCCGCTGTGTAAAACATATGCTGGAATGGTTGGCGGTTCATTCTGTTGTGGCGACCCCTGATAAATAAGGGACTAAGCCGAAGGAAAATGACTGTAATTACAATAAACTAAATGTTCACCTACAAAACATCTATTTAAAATTGTAATAATATTTTAAATATATATATATATATATATATATATATATATATATATATATATATATATATATATATATATATATATATATAATTTTAAATACATTTTTGCTTCTTTTTTAGCTTTAGTAAATTGGAGTTTGTTTGTTTGTTTGTTTGTTTGTTTGTTTGTTTTGGTCAAGCACTCATTTGATATTACAGTGTATTTTTGTTTTTATTTTTATCTGTATTTTTAATTTTAAAACCTAAATGTCAGCAAAACCCAAACTGCAAAAGTATCAAAAAAATATATTTTATAAATTACGCTTATTTGTGTGGGTTTTTTTTTTTGAATTGTTGATACATTTTTAGCTTTGATGTTTTTTTTTTTACAATTTATATTGAGGTAAACGCGCTTTTGTTTTTTGTTTTTTAAAGTGTTTTGATTAAAAAAAAATAACAAACAAAAATTGCAAACTGCAAATCTCCAAAAGTATATAAGTGCGCTTTTTAAAATCTTCTTTAATAGACTTGTTTATATATTTTAGCATTGTTTGTTTGTTTTTACACTGTTTTACTGTATTTTTCCTGTATTTGTAATGAAATAAGCTCAGCACTGGTGAGCAGATCAGCGTTTCTCCACACACTGTAAAGCAGTGCAGTGTTTAGCGCAGGCCTGTGTGTGTGTGTGTGTGTGTGTGTGTGTGTGTGTGTTTACAGTGTATATTTCTTCGAGCAGAAACACGAGTGTTTTCTCTCACACTACAGATGTGTGTTTTCTGCAGCAGTGAATGTAGGATGCTGAGACTGATGCATGAGCGGCGCTGCTTCAGCCTTCGTTCGTTCGTTTGTTGGTTTGTTTGTTTGTTCGTTTGTTTGCTGTGGTTGTCGTGACGCCTGCGTGTGTTGATGAATGTCCTGCATGCGGCCAGCAGTAGCTTTACACGTCTGACACACACTTAACAATCAGTCAGACTGGAGCTCAAACACACACACACACACACACACACACACACACACACACACACACACATTATAAGACAATTGGGGAAGTGCATTTCATTTAGTGCTGCACAATAGATTACACAACTATTGTTATTCTGTTTAAAATAATGTGTAATATTCCTATCACAGAGAGGTGCGATACATTACATTTATTCATTCAAATAAACATTTTATTAAATATTAAATTATTAATATATTAAATTAAATTTATATTTATATAATTTAATTTATATATTTAACTTAATTTACACATTTTTTTGCTAATATTAGGACAAATAAGAAAATTATAACTCTGTAAATATAATAGAAATACATATACACTTACAGATTGCCTTACACTAGTTCAGTTAACTAAACAAGAGAGTATTAAACTTTTTTGCACTAAATAAAAAAAATAATAATACATACATACATATATATATATATATATATATGTATATATATATATATATATATATATATATATATGTATGTATGTGTATATATATATATATATATATATATATATATATATATATATATATATATATATATATATATTAGGGGTGTAATGGATCGCAGTTGATCCATCATTCGTACGGATCACAACCCATGAACCCACGGTTTGGAACACACGTGACCCGCAGATTAATACTTTTTTCACCTCTTGCGTCATTCAAATCACATGTATGACAGAATTTAGGCTTTCCTGTAAAATATAATGATGACAGAAGAAGTCATGGTGGGTTATTGGGGATTTGGTGGGTTTCTTAGGTTATTAAAGGTGTTTTTGCCACTGCCTGTTTAGCCGGCATCAATGCATTCAGTGTAAGCTGCACGATTAATCGTTAAGCGATTGAGATCTCAACACCGACGCAACATCAATTATACATGATGCTGATTTGCATACGTTTATTAATTCTTCCAATCGCTGCATTCAAATCTGTGCTTGAAAAATGCACAAATCAAGACAGAGATTGAGTGTTTAGTTTACAAACCGTCAAATAACACAGAAGTACAGGTAGGACAGTTTATAGTTTAGATAAAACCACTGATGTTCAAGGTAAAATAACCCTTATATGCATTTAACAACATTCAAAATGAAAGTTGTAGGCAGCACTTACATTATTTAGCCTATAGGGGGCGACAACCAGCCGTCAAAAATACGCCACTGAATAATTCTTCAACAATGATCATCTAGCAACAAAACATGAAGTTGTATGAGTGAACAACTGAATTATTATTAGTACCGTTACACCACTAATATGTATTTATATGTCAATATATATATATGCATTTTGTTATTTTATGTGTGCATGCAGCTGTCTATGTATGTAATATTTTATCTTATTATTATTTATACGTGTCTCTTTAATATATTTCTAAACTTTAAAACTGCAAGCTGAATCTTTTCCATTCTGAGATCATGAAAATCATCTAAAGCTCACGGCTGATACACTCAGAAATAAAGGCACAACAGCTGTCACTGTGATTATGCCTTGTTAAAAGGTGCACTTTTGTACTTAAAAGGTCCACAATGATACCTTAAAGGTACCAGAAGGTACACCTTTGCCATTTATATGTACTAATATGTACCTTGAAGATACAAGTGTGGACCTTTAAGGCACCAAAGTGTATGTGTTGAAAGTGACAGCTTTTGCACCTTTATTTCTGAGAGTGTAAGGTGCGGGTTTATACATTTATTTTCTCTGCTAAACATTTATGTGTTTCCAGCATTATTTTTTTATTCAAATCTGACCAATCAGAGTCGACCATGCTATCATTA